AGTAGGACTTAAAAAATATTGAAAGTCATTCTGCTACTTATAAAGAGAAAAATAAAATCAAACCTCTCCTTTGTTTTTTATGGCACCTTAATTTAATTTTTTAATTACAATGAATATTCAGCATTATTTTACATAAGTTTCAGGTGCACAGCATAATGGTTAGACATATAAATAATTTATAAAATGATTCTCCCAATAAGTCTAGTACCCACCTAGCATCATATATAATTAATACAATATTACTGATTGACTATATTCCCTATGGTATAATCTCATGATTATTTTTAAAAATATTTTTAATTTATTTATATTTAGAGGGGAAGGGAAGGAGAGAGGGAGAGAAATATCAATGTATGGTTGCCTCTCGTGCACCCCCTGCTGGGAACTGGCCTGCAGCCCAGGCATGTGCCCTGACTGGGAATTGAACCGTGATCCTCTGGTTTGTAGGACTGCATTCAATCCACTGAGCTACACCAGCCAGGCCATGATTATTTTATAACTACCCTAAAGATTTCACCAAAAACACTATTAGAACTGACAAAGGAATTCAGTAAAGTAGCAGGATACAAAATTAATATTCATAAATTAGTTGTATTTTTATACTACAATAATGAACTATCAGAAAAAAATTGGGAAAGCAATCTCACTCACAATTACATGAAATTGCTTAAATCTAAAAAATAGATTTTAACCAAGAGGGTAAAAGTCATGTATTGGAAAATTATGACACATTGAAGAAAGAAATTGAGAAGACACAAATGAATGGAAGAATATATTTTGCTCATGGATAGGAAAAATTAACATTGTTAAAATGTCCATGCTTCCAAGAGCAATCTACAGATTTAATGCATTCCATATCAAAATACCAATTATATTTTTCACAGAATACAACAAATCATTCTAAAATTTATATGTAACTATAAAAGACCCCAAATAGCCACAGCAATCTTGAGAAAGAACACAGTTAGAGTTATCAGGCTACCTGACATCACATTATACTACAAGGCCATAGTAATCAAAATGTCATGGTACTGGCATGAAAACAGGGACATCTATCAATAGAACTGAATAGACAGCCCCAAATAAACCTATGCATGCCTAGATAGATGGTCAATTAGTATTTAACAAAGGAAGCAAGAACATACAATGAGGTAAGGACAGTAATGACTATATATGGTGCCAGATGGGTACAAGATATATCAAGATGTTATAGAATGCCTAATCACTGAGGTGTACACTTGAAACTAGTATAATATTTATGTTAACTGTAATTAAAAACTAAAAGTGATTAAAATAAACATTAAAAAAGAAAACTGTTTTTAGGAAAACTGGACATATACATTAAAAAACTAAACCACCTTCTTACAACATAGACAAGAATAAACTCAAAATAGATGGAAAACTTAGATGTATGACCCAAAACCATAAAACTCCTAGATGAGAACTTAAGCAATAAACTCTTTGACATTGCTCTTTGTAATATTCTTTCTGATATATCTCCTTGGGCAAGGGAAGCAAAAGGAAAAAATAAATGTGATTACACCTAACTAAAAATTTTTGCACTGCAAAGGAGACCATCAATAAAACTAAAGCACAACCTACTAAATAAGAGAATACATTCACCAATGATACATTCATTAAGGGTTAATATAAAAAATTTATAAGTAACACACACAACTCAACACCAAAAAACCCCAGATAATCTAATTAAATAATGCCCAGAGAACCTGAATAGACACTTCTCCAAAGAAGACATACAGATGGCCAATAGACATAAGAAAAGATGCCCAGTGTCACTAATCATCACAGGAATGCAAATTAAAACAACAATGAGATATTACCTCACACCTGTCAGATTGGCTACCATCAATAAATCAACATTAACAAGTGTTGGCAAGGATGTGGAGAAAAGGGAACCCTCAGTTACTCCTGATGGGAATTCAGACTGGTGCAGCAGCTATGAAAAAAAGTATAAAGGGTCCTCAAAAACCGCCCTAGTGAACACCTAAGGCTCCGCTCCTCATACTTAACTGCAGGGAACTTGAGGGGAACATGCAAGAAGCAATCACACAGTGATGTTTCTCTCCCTTTCTCCCTTTCTTCCCCTCTCTCTAAAAAAAAACCTGTTTAAAAAGAAGTACAAACTGATAGTTACGAAACAGTCATGGGGTTGTAAAGTACAGCATAGGAAATATAACCAATAATATTGCAATAATATTGTATGGTGGCAGAAATATCGGGGTCAAATCAAAAAGGTTTGCACAGCAAAGGGAGCAATCAACAAAATGAAAAGACAACCTACCAGTTGGGAGAAGATATTCATCAATGATAAATCTGATAAAGAATATGCAAAATTTATAAAGAACTCTAATAAACTTAACACCAAACCAAATAGACCAATAAACAATCTATTTCACAAGTGAGCAGAGGATGTGGCAGACATTTGTCCACTCCTTTTGTATTTTAAATTTAAAATAATCAAAACTAGGACTTCTGCCAAGATGGAGGCATAAGTGGAGACGCCGTGCTTTTTCACACAACCAAGTTTAGAGACAACAAAATATTATCAACAGAAAACATAGCCAGAACACAGAAATATGAACTTTTCGGAAGTCTGATAACAACGAATGCTTCAGCATGACCAGTAAGAGGGGCAAAACCAGCAGCTGGCGGAGTGGGGTTGCACAGGAAAACTCAGTTAGATGGACTCAGGCGCATGGATCCCAGGTGTGGGGTTGCAAAGGGTGGACCCAGTGAGTGACCCAGTGAGCAACCCGTGGATCCAGCGAGGGCGCTGGGCGGCATGTTGACTGTGGTGCCATATTCCTGCGCAGATAGACCAGCAAGGGAGTGGGCAGTGAGACGGGACCAAGCGGGCCCCAGCAGGCCCCAGTGGCAGGCGGCAGCAGAGAGGGCCGCCATTTCTCTGCTCTGACTCCGCCCCCACATACTGTGTCACAACCCAGCAACCTCACCCTGGTGGCCCTGTCCTGCCCCTAAGGCTCCACTCCTCATACTTAACGGGCTCGAACAGACCAAAAATGGTTCAAGAAGATCTCAAAGCCCCAGAGTCCATAACTCTAAGTGATGAAGAAATAGCTAAACTTTCAGATGCACAGTTCAAAACACTGGTCATCAGGATGCTCACAGAACTGGTTGATTTTAGTCACAAATTAGAGGAACATATGAAGGCTAAACTGATTGAAATGAAGGGAATTGCACAGGAAACCAATAGTGATGAAAAGAAAACTGGGTCTCAAATCAAGGGAGCAGACCAGAAGAAGGAAGAAATGATCGAACAGGAAAGGATGAAGAAACAAGAATTCAAAAAAATGAGGAGAGGCTTAGAAACCTCCAGGACATCATTAAACGCTCCAACATCCAAATGATAGGGGTACCAGAAGGGGGAAAGGAACAGCCAGAGTGGAAAATTTATTTGAACAAATAATAAAGGAGAATTTCCCCAATCTGGCAAAGGAAATAGACTTCCAGGAAATACAGGAAGCTCAGAGAGTCCCAAAGAAGTTGGACCTAAGAAGAAACACAACAAGGCACATCATATGTACATTAGCCAAGATTCAAATGAAGGAGAGAATCCTAGAAGCAGCAAGAAATAAGGGGACAGTCACCTACAAAGGAGTTCCCATCAGACTGTCAGTGGATTTCTCAAAAGAGACCTTAGTCAAGAAGGGGCTGGAAAGAGGTATTCTAAGTCATGAAATCCAAAGACCTACAACCAAGATTACTCTATCCAGCAAAACTTTCATTTAGAATGGAAGGACAGATAAAGTGCTTCTCAAATAAGGTCAAATTCAAGGAGTTCATCATCACCAAGCCCTTATTATATGAAATGTTAAAGGGACTTATCTAAGAAAAAGATAGAAAATATGAACAGTGAAAGGACAGCAAACGCACAGTTATTAACAACCACATTTAAAACAAAAGCAAACTAAAAGGACAGCTAGATCAGGAGTGGAAACATAGAAATGAAGATCTCATGGAGGGTTAGCAACAGGGAAGTGGGAGAAGGAGAAGGGGGGAGAAGGTACAGAAAATAAGTAGCATAGACAGTAGGTAGAAAATAGATGGGGGGGGCAAGAATAGTATGGGAAATACAGAATCTAAAGAACTTGAGATACATGAACATGAACTAAAGGGGGGGAATGGTGGGGGAGGGGGATTGCAGGGTGGAGGGGAATGAAGGGGGGAATAGAACAACTGTAATGGCATAATCAATAAAATAAAAATTAAAAAAAGATTACCATAAAAAATCAAAACTAAATAAAAATAATAGCAAAAATCTTTACTCCACCCAAGCAATAACCTCACTGCATTATTTCTTCCACTTTTAGTTTTTAATGTAATAAACATTCTTCTGATATGGAAAGAAGCTATATTTGAAAAATTTATCTTTGGGTGAAAAAGAATTGATGAAGAGAAGAATGTGTATAAAAATTAGGCACCTTGTCCTTCAGAGATGTGAAGTCCCAGATCTCTGTTCAGTGGCTTCATAGCCATAATAGATTCCTCTCTGGGCCTTGCATCTTCTACCCGTATTACATGTAGAGTGAATTAAATAATTTTGAAAGCTTCTCTCTAGCCTAAATTCAACAAGAAAGCAAAAGTAAAAATAATGAGTTTGTTGCTTTTATGCCATGCTTATTTGCAGACAGCCTGTATAAACCCAAAAACTAGACCTTGAGAAGCCCTAAATATTGTTCTATATTCCTCAGGCTCTATGTGAAATACATAATAAAAAACCATAATAAATCATAAAATAACATTGAAGAAGTCCAAAAGTCTTTTATTCCTTATGATGACTAATTTAATGGAAAAAACCCACATAAAATCTTAAATTGTTTCTAAGAAATGGTATTGTGGCCTGTTTTGCTGGTATCCTAATAAATGTTTACCATGACTGTTGGATAATCTGTCATGTCTGTGATGTCATACCAGTACAGAATTCCCCTTAGATGGAAAATTACTCTTCTCTCTTCCAGATCACATAAGTGGAAATATCCAAGTTCAGCTTATACATTCATATATTGCTGAAATTTTCCATGTAAATTTGGAATGAGACCTAAGCCAAGAGAGAGGCATAAAGTGCACCAGAACCACAGGCTATTGTGATAGAATAATGAGGAGGTAACATCCACACACCTTGAAAATGAGACGGCATACTGGCAATGCAGGGTAAAAGAGGTAGGGCCATTTTACAAGTTGTGGGGTGCTAGATGGGAAGACAGGACCCAATGGGCAAGGTAGCAGATAAAGTAGAGAAAAAAGGACATAAAATGTGAGGATAAATTTCTATCATTGCAACTGAGAGTGACTGAACAGTGTTCACTTTAACCAAGGGTTGGGGCAAGACAAATCTGGACACGAAAGAAATAGATTCAAATGCTACACCATTTTTTGCTGTGGTGGGGACAAGAGCCCACATGTTTCAGGACACTGTTGCCTGCAAAAGACAATTTTCACTATCTGGGATGGCAGTTTGGGGACAATTTCATGTCCCCAAACCTAAATGATTCATTAGGTGATTTTAGATAAGTAGTATATTTTCTGTGAGCAATTGTTTCTTCATCTGCAAACAGGTTCCTTCTAATTATAATGTTATGTTTCTTTTCAAGTATAAACAGGAATGTGGGTGTTGGCTGAAGAACTGGTTAACCATTATATACCTTTTTTTCTCTTTGCTTTGGGCAGGGATCATAACTCTACGGCTTACCTTAATGAATATACTGAAATATTCAAGATGCCTAACACTTCTAACAGTGCCTGCAATGACACTCCTTTGCAATTTCAGCACACCCTGTATGCAACCACCTACATTACCATTTTCATCCCTGGTCTTCTGGCCAATACCGCAGCCTTGTGGGTTCTGTGGCGCTTCATCAGCAAGAAAAATAAAGCCATCATTTTCATGATCAACCTCTCTGTGGCTGACCTTGCTCATGTGCTGTCTTTACCCCTCCGGATTTACTACTACATCAACCACCATTGGCCTTTCCAGACACCCCTTTGCCTGCTGTGCTTCTACCTGAAGTATCTCAACATGTATGCCAGCATTTGCTTCCTGACCTGCATCAGCCTTCAGAGGTGCTTCTTTCTTCTCAAGCCCTTCAGGGCCAGAGACTGGAAGCGTAGGTACGATGTGGGCATCAGTGCTGCCATCTGGGTCACCGTGAGTACTGCCTGTTTGCCATTTCCCATCCTGAGAAGTGCTACATTATCCAAGAAGAATGAATCATGCTTTGCTGATCTTGGATACAAGCAAATGAATGCTGTGGCTTTGGTTGGAATGATTACACTTGCTGAACTGGCAGGATTTGTGATCCCAGTCGTTATCATTGCATGGTGTACCTGGAAAACTACCATGTTCTTGAGACAACCACCAAAGACTTTCCAGGGAATCAGTGAGAGACAGAAAGCACTGCGGATGATTTACATGTGTGCCGCAGTGTTCTTTATATGCTTCACGCCCTATCATATTAACTTTTTTTTTTACACCATGGTACAGGAAAAAATAATTGACAGTTGTTCCATTGTCAAAAGCACACAGTATTTTCACCCTTTTTCTCTATGCCTTGCAAGTCTCTCCTGTCTTTTAAATCCAATTATCTATTACTTTATGGCCTCAGAATTTCGTGACCAACTATCCCTTCATGGCAGCTCTCTGACCCGATCTCGCCTCATGAGCAAGGAAAGTGGTTCATCAATGATGGCCTAAAAATAAAATAACTTTTATATTGCAACTTTGTTTAACATGTTTCCCCCTTTTTTTGCAAATACTGAGAGACCAGTCAAGTAATTTCTTTAATTGATCTCTGGGAACAACAGAAATAAACGTCCTCTTATGTAATAGTTGTGGTCATAGGGGTGTGATGGTGGAGGCTATATGTGAAAATTGTGGGAGAGAAAAGGAAAATTGGATTTGCCTGTTCCCTCTTTGAAATTCAAGGCACTTTCAAGTTTTTACAGATGTTTTAAACCAAAGCAAGTGGGAAATTTTATCTGAAACATTTTTTTCAGTAAATGATTGTTAATGAGATACAATAAGTGAATAATTTCCATATGTAAAAGTAAATCTTTTTAAAAGAAGACATTTACTTGTGAATGAGAGTAAAAATATCCTCTTTCTAAGAAATAAATGCACAGGCATGAGGTAGTGAAGAATGAGGCAATGTGTACATAAATGTCAGGACCACAAACCTATTTGATTAAATGGCACAGGAATTTGTTCATTCACTGAAAATGTCTTAGATGCCTATTGTATTTTAGTTTGCCACTTTTAAGGTGCTTTCCACATATAGAATCTCATCAGGGCCTTCTAATAAACTTGTGAAAATTTCCAATATAAATAAATACGTAGAACTTCAGGGATGTGAAGAAACTTGTCTGGGGGATAAACAGTGGTGAGTCAAAATGTATCCTGTATACATCCCATATCTTTAAGTTATTCACTCTGCTTGTTTTGTTACTTTTACTAGGTCAGTAATAAACTAGACTTAAATGGTGATGACACAGACTAAAGCTAAGAAACATGAAACCACAACCATTTTTTGCAAAATTTACCTGAGATTATCTGAAAAGTCTTGGGTTGTAAGGGTAAGAGTCAGGCTTCAGGCTGCAAGGTATCAAATGATAAATAGATATTGTTCTGATACTGTCTTGATCTACAGAGTCCTCATGATCAGGGATATAGGAAATGTAAATATGGAATTGCATTAGAAACAGAAGATATTCTTACATCATGAATGAATGGGAGAAAAGTGTGTGCCATCCTTCTGGAAATCATATCTTCAGTTTTCTCAAGGTTATAGCTATTGTTTTAGAGCCATCATATAGGATTTAAATATAAGCAATCCTTAGCTTCTCAGGTTGGCATTTATGAAGCTCAATGCATCCTTCTAATCTTTTATGCTTGCAATTTAAATAGCATGTCAGACATTTAGTGTGTGGAGTGATAGTCCTCAGAATATCAATTTGAACAGACTGGCTACAGAAGAGGATAAGGGGACAACTAAACAAGGAGGAATTTTAAAAAACAACAAGGTTTCTATGGTGGGCTTTTCTAATTACAAAGTAATGAAACTGGTTTTCTTGTGCTTTATTAATTGGCATCTGATGGCACAGCCTAAAGAGGGTTTCCAGTTGTGCCTGGAGAATAGCAGCATTATCAGAATGAATGCATAAACATTCCCACTGTAAGGTGATGATTTTGAAAGAAACCCATTTGGAACCACAACATCCTGCTATATCTGTAAAGAAAAGGAACCTCAGTTCTAAATAGCCACATTTGATATTCCCTCTTTCAAGTTATTGACAAGAGGCAGTGCTTCAAACACAAGATTTGTGGATTAGTAGTGAAATTAAATTTTTTGCCTTTCATTTGTCCACCATTAAAGTGAAATCTTTGGGCTTTTTCTGACATGTGTGTCCCTATTGTAGTGAGAAAATGATAAGATCAAAGCAATAAATAGTTGTTTCTTGAGTTTTAAAGGTTAGGATGCCTTATACAGGGTGGGGAAAAAGTAAATGTATGGTTGTTCATAGGTAAAAATGATACAATGATTAATAAATAATAATACAAGAACAAACTCTGTGTTTCGCGTACTCACTATGGTAAACCTACTTTTGCCCAACTTATAATACCAGCAGAAAAGGTGACAATGCTTCAAATTATGAGATAACAATTCAAGATATCAGTGAAATTGATTGAAGGTATTGTAATGAACAACAGTTTGAAGTTGTCCCTGTGCTTATCATGGGGACAAGATGTAAGACAAAGATATCAGTAACACATATGTCCTTGAGTCAACTTTTCAAAATGTCACCAAACCGCCTGACATTGCTTCCAAATCCCTGCAAAACATCACTCCAAATCCACTTAGAATCCATTCAGAATCTCACATTCTTGATGAAACCATTCTTTAATTGGTTTAAAATTAAACCATTCTTTAATTACCCAATGATTTTGGTTCAAAAAAAGAGAGAGAAGGGCTTTGAGGACTATAAAAACTTTGTACAACAATTTATATTAACTTAAATGCAGTTTATATGTGATTGGTTATGCTGTTTACCTTTAGAAAGCTTTAAATTCTAGCACAGAGTTTAAATACAACATTTATTATAGATGAAATAAATTATGCTTAAGGAGTATGTGGTTATTTTTATAAAAATATTAATCATTTTGCTGTTATGTAAAAATTTAACTGCCTTATTATAAAATTGCTTTTATAACAAAATCATCTTCTCCTAATATTCTTTTTCATATTTTCCAGAATTATAACTCACCATAAAAGTAAGATTGCTCCTTAAGCCACATTCCTCTTTTAAGTAGTAAGTAGTTTGGTTATTATATTAATTCTTTATAGCTAATACTGTGCCTTTAAGTACACTACAAATGTAACATGTAATTACATGTACGTGTATACTATTATACATTAAGGCTTTTAAAGAATTAATTCATCTTCCAAAGTTTCAAATTTACTAGCAAGGAATAATTAAGGTACATTGGTTCTCTGACGTTTTAATGATAAACCACAATTTTGTTTTTGGGAACAAAAATTATTTTCACTTTTCATATATTACTTTGTTTAGGAAAATTATATGTGTGGAATTTTAATATACAGAATATGATAGAGTAGGAAGAGAACAATTGGTTTACAGAAGATGAATTTCAAATTGGCTAATAAGGAAAAAGAGAAGCAAAGTATCAGGGGCTGTTAGCATAGGCTAGCAGATATTCTGATCTTCTGGAGTTGGGGGGTACATTTTCATGAGCTGAGAAATTGCATTTGAATTGGGTCTTGGATAATGGAAAAGTTTTCAAGTTGTTGCTAAATGTAGAGAAAGAGTATGCATTATTATTGGAAACCCTCTAGAGGCAACGGTAGAAAGAAAATACAGTGAGGAGTTGAATAGTACAAAATACTATCATTTGGCTATAAATATGCCGGCAAGCAGTAATCAATGAAGCTGATTTAGAGGTATGGTTTAGAGGTAAAATTTAGAGGTATGGTTTTTGTTCAAAACGGTGATGTAGGAATATCCTGACCTCACCTTCTTCCATAACACATTGAATCTATAGCTCTATATGAAACAATATCCTTTGGGGAAATAAACCCTAAAACCTGGTGGAGCAACCCCTTCACAGCAGAAATGAGAGAGAAACTATATCAAAGCCTTGAAGAAAGGGTTAGATACTAAGTCATCATAAACCCCAACCCTAGGTGAGGCAACCCACAATTGGAAGGGAGCTCAAAACCTGGAGCTTCAATTTAAGACTCAAAAGGTTTGTATACCTCATTAGGCACCCCATCATTTAAGAGTGGCAGTTGAGAGACAAGCCCCCAAATGTATGACTTTGAAGAGCAACAGGGCTCATGCTCAAAACACCTGGTGGGCTGTGGCAAACTATGAAACAGGTGTTAAAGAGCTCACGTGCTGACTTGTCTGTTGCAGAGCCTGGCACAAAAGCAAGTGTTTGAAGAGCACCTACACTTTCTGTGAAAAAGACTCATTGGCTAATTTTAAAGCATTGGTCTGAGGAGAGGAGGCTGCAGGGATGGTCTCCAGGAATAGAGGCTAGTGAATGCGAACCTGCTACTCTCCTTCTGTCCTGCTAAAGCCAGTGGGCACCATCATTTTTCCTTTTTTCTTTCCCTCTTTCTTCAATTCTTCTTTTAAACCTTTTTTTCTTTATCATCTGAAAGAGAGCTTTGGCATATGTCTGTTGCCCTTATTTTTATATCCGGTGACCCAATTTTTGAGGCTGTCACACCAAGCATGTCCTTTGATTTCCTGGCTCTGGCAGCCAGGGAGGCTTATGTTTCTGGAGCACATGAAACTAACAGAGAGAGAGAGAGAGGGAGAGAGAGAGAGTTCTTGGCAGACTACCACTTCCAGGGTACTGTCCAGATAGCAGACTGAAATACCCTCCCAATCTATCTGAGAAAGAGCTGTATTTACTTGAGCAGGAGCTTTGGCCTGGGGGCTCTATGGAGGGTCTCTTAGGGAAGGAGGCCACTGAATGCAATTGTGCTCTCCCTTGGCCTTATTCCAGCTCACCAGTATCTTACAGAAAGGAGCTTATGCCCTTCTCTGGTACCCTGACTTTTGTAGCTCTTGCCAGAGGACACTTCTACTTTGGCTGTATTGGACAGTGGGGCTTACACTCATGGGTCCTATAGGACAATAATTAATAGAGACATAAGTGTTAAATAGCTATCATACCAGGGCACAGTGAAAGGTAACAGACCCAGGAGCTCAGTCTTTCTGTGAAAGTGGACTAATGTGCTTATCATCGTAGTCATAGCCTGACTGGCAGGCTTCTAATTAAACACAAAAATGAAGGCTGACTGTTAACCTTTCCTGATACCTCAGAGGGTGGGCACTATCTTGACTCAGTCTCTGTCAGACTCCAGAGCACCACCATCTCTCAGAGGGGAACCCTTATATGTCACTGATGCTGCAGTTTTTAATCCTGGTATGTACCTTGTTTTTTTGTGGCTGCCGCCTAGTAGATACTAATTGATGACCTTGTAATGGGTGTGGAACAAAGTTCAGAACAGGGTGTAGGTGAGAAGCCTCAACACCCCCACAAGCCTGGCTTGGGGCCTAGGAAGAGTGGTAGCACAGTGATTAAGAGTTACTTTGCACATAAATAACAGTTGGCTAGTACTATAGAAATGATTATAGCTTGCCTATCCTGCTGAGGCCAGGAAGATGGGCATGACTTGAACTGTGATGTAGCCAGGAGGTGGTTCCCTGGTTGCTATGCCAGCGCAAGAGCAGGAAGGAGGTTTCCCTATGTCATGGGGCCACACCTTCCCAGACTAACAATGGCAGCCAGAGAAAGGCCAAAGAGACCAGAGAATGGGCAGATGTAGTTGATTGTGTGAGGAGATGGAAATGGGATTACAGAAGAAGTGCCAGGGTTTAAACGAGGCATGGGAGCTATATTCCTCCTAGCCACGTGGCTTGGGAAGAAGGGCTCTTGGCCATGCAGGGAGTGGTAGTGAGGGAAAAGACATACTGTCTATAGTAAGGGATTTTTGTCATGTGGTTTGAAAGGCAGTAGTGGATCATGCCTGCTCTAGCCGACTCAGGAGCTGCAACGGAATTCCTCATAAGATCCTGTCCTGCTACACCCGGATTTTACCTGAACTATTAAGAACTGTGCCTTTCCTGAGTTTCACCATCATCTAGAGTAACAAGGCACATTCTTTTCTGGACTATTATATAGAGACTGATACCAAACATATTCCAGATCTTGCACAGATAAAGCTGTGGGAAACTTCTGGGGATACTTATAGCCTGTTGGGGAGCATGGGAAGTGCTGGGTTTTGTGGGAAAGGAGGGCTACAAGCTGAGATGCTCTAGATTCTTCCAAGACTGGAATGTTGTAAATAGAGACCTACTCCCTCCAGCATTAATTGTTGTGTCATTCATCAAGACACCATGTGGATGGGCCCTGGTCTACTCGGCAACAACCTGGCTCTGGTGGACAGGATAGCTCTTATTCCTGGGTCTCATGGGACTGTAACAATAAAAGAAGCAGTTCTTGGAAAGTGACCAATCCCTTTGACACTGAACAGACAATAGTCTAAAATACACACCCAACCTTTCTGTAATAGAGGCCTACTTACTTATCCTGTAGCTTCAGACTTAGAGGCATGCTTCAGGTTTGACATACATCTAGAGGCTATAAACATGCTCTCAGGGAATATACTGAAAGAATGCCATCTCTGTGTTCTCCCTCTATCTTACTCATCACCCAGAAAGAAGTTTATATATTTATGTGGAGCTCCAATATTTGCACCTGCCAACTAAAGGACACCTCCACAAAACCTAGCTCTGGTAGCTGATGGAATTTATCGTTTAAGTTCTACAGGGCTCTGTATATTTGCATTCTTTAAAAATTGCTGGCTGAGGCTCTGATTTCCAATCAGCCTGGATCTAGTTGCTGATGAGATCCTCCCCTTTGGGATACAGGTCTTGGAATACCATCAACTACTGGGAGCTATTAAAAATAAAATAAGGTGCTTGACAATCACAAAGGTTTCACAGACAACCAAGAACTAGTACAGGGTTAAACAGTAAGGGTCATCTTCAGCACAAAGCCAAGCCTTCAAGACTGTGAGAGGTGGCCAGGCCATTTCATCTAATACCTGGAAAAAAAACAGAGAGTCAAGCAAAATTAAGAAACAAAGAAACATGTTACAAATAAAACAACACTATAAAACCTCAGAAAAACTTCAATAAAATGGGGATAATAAATTTAACTGATAAAAATTTCAAAGTAATGGTCACGAAGATGCCCATTGAACTCAGAAGAAATTAAGTGGATGAATACAGTGAAAATGTCAAGAAAGAAATAGAAAATATAAAAAACTATCAAACAAAAGTTATGCAGCTGAAGAATACAATAACTGAAGTGGAAAAACATGGTAGAGGAGTTCAATAATAAACTACATGAAGCAGAAGAGTGGATTAGTAAACTCAAAGTTAGGGCAGAAGGACTATCACCCAATCAGAACAGCAAAAAAGAAAATTTAAAGTAAGTGAAAATAACTTATGCAATTTATGAAACAAAATCACACTAACTAACATTCATGTTATAGGAATCCCAGAAAGAGAGAAAAATGCAGAAAATTTATTGGAATAAATAATGGCTGAAAACTTCCCTGAGGAAAGAAACAGACATATAGACCCAGGAAACCCAGAGTGTTCTAAAACAAATGAATTTAAACAGACTCATACTAAGACATTAAAATGAAAGTGTTAAAATTTAAACACATGGGAAAATGTTGAAACAAGCAATATGAAATCGCTTTTTACATACAAGGAAACCCCCATAACACTGTAGGCAGATTTTTCAGCAGAAACTTTGCAGGCAAAAAAGGAGTGGCACAATACATTCAAAGTACTGAAAGAAAAAAAATTCCAACCAGAAATACTCTGCCTGGCAAATTTGTCATTCAGAGTTAAAGAAGAGATACAGAGTTTTACAAAGAAGCAAAACCCTGGACTTCCGCCAA